GGAATTCCTAATCTTTTTAATTTGCCCACACAACCTTCGTGCCATAACTGGTCGAAGGCAGAACGAAAATCGATAAAAATGGTACACACAGGGGTACTGTTAGACATAAGACTATATATATATCCTCCAAGAATAACAATAAACGAGTTTGGAGATTAAAACCGCCTCTGAAACCCGACTGATTGTCGGGTAATCAACCTCTCCTAAATAGAACATCGCGAAATCTAGAAAGAAATAACCTTTCACAAACTTTAAGAAATGGGTGTGTGGGTGTGGGTGTGTAGGAAGGTAACACAATCGATTTCGACCTTGCTTACAGGTCTCGTCAGGTGGCTGAATATCTTTAAGTTGATTCAAATTCAAAACATAAAATTTTGAACCGAATCAATTCAAGACAATTTACTATGCTATATCAAATAAAGATATAGATGTAAATGATACCGAATTCAATAAAGAATATGGATGTCTAGGAAGCTACCACAATCGTTTTTGACCTTGCTTACAGGTCTCGTCAGGTGGCTTAATATCTTTAAGTTGATTCAAAATTCAAAAGAAAATTTTCAATCCAGGCTGAAGGATTTCGGATGTAGTGTTCAAGTCTATCGTTCTCCACTAAAACGTTGTTTGATGAATGAAAGAAGTTTGATATGAGTTGTTTTGAAATCTGCCTTTTTTTATCATAGTCATATTACCGTGTGTGTGATGTTGGTCGAGGGGAAAGTTTGTTCTCTTGTCAGGTTGTAATGATTTGGTGTGAGAATAGTTTCATAAAGAGTAGTAGAAATTTCGAAGAATTTAAATGTGGATGTGTATATGTGTATATCTAGAATGGAAAAGCTTATGAATTCAATTGTGAAAATCAATAGAGTACTGGAAGCATAGAGAAAAATGAAGAACAAATAGTTTTTATGGGAAAGTGGGAACATAATTTTCACTAAATAGTACAGAAGTTGGATGTTTAGTAGTGAGTGTCATTTGCGTGCTGATCAGAAGTATAGATTTGATGTGGGAGTAGGTATGATGTGGAAGAGTGACAGTGGTAATAAAGTGACTGTAGATAATTCGATATGGATCAATTGACGAGGGTTTTTTTATGTTTCTGTTTCATGGTATCTACAACAAAGTGAGATTGAAGATTGAAGAAAGTTTTGTATAAACAAGAAAAATCTTACTTGGAAGTTGGGTTGGTTTTAACATTATTGGAGGTGGTCTTTTTTGAACTAACTCATGTCTAGTGTTACGATGATTTCGATGGCCAACAATTAGTCGAAAATCTATTCCTATGGTATCTTGAAATATTTCTGAATAAATCTTATGTATATCACGCTTCAGAGTATGTAGGCGTTTTTCATGTGTATAATGAAGAAAGAGAGTGTTTGTGAATTTATTCGGCTTGTTTTGTTTTGAAATTGTAGTGGTCCTTGTTGTTTTTTATTTTGTATTGTAATTGTCAATCTCTTCGTCGATTGAAACAGCTGCAATACTATGTTGTGTTTCTCGTTCTTTGACAGTGAGTTTAGATAGTAAGTTATTTCTCATAGTAAAAATTGATTCTCGTTGTCGAGGAATGGTATTATTGTTGTTTTTGAAATGGAGCGACCGAATAATTTTCGAAAATGTGTATCACTATATCTGGATGGATATCTAAAGAATGTAAATAATAAGGGAATAAGACGATTAATGAAAGATTGAATGTGTCCGGTGGAGAAACGCACCCATTATAGAGTAACATTAATCGAACAGCACGACGTTCTTTTTCAAAAATGTCCAATGTAGATGAATAACGTACAGCTCGAAGAAGAGCAGCTTGAATAATATTAGAAAATACATGGCGTGGATGATCAGAAATAAAAGGTACAACACACGGTTCGGCTACTGGTTTGTGATGGACGGAGGTTCTTAAAATACCATTGTTATTGTTGATCAGAAGATCAAGAAATGAAACACAACTGCCAATGGTAGCTTCTAATTTGATGTTTGGGTGAAACTCATTTGCTCTCTTGATGAGTGCCTCCATTTTTTCCTTAGGTTCATTGAAAGTAAAGAAAGTGTCATCAATGTACCTAGAATGGTCATAAAAAAAATAATTAATTTCTCCAAATAGGTCAAGAAGATGAATAAACAATAACATACCGACCATAGATTTCATGGGATCCTAGTGCACCACAAATGGCATTTTTCTCCCATTTCCACATGAAAATGTTGGCTAACGTTAAAGTAAACGGGGATCCCATCGCACCACCAATAATTTGTCGATAGAATTTATTTCCATCGACAAATGCAGTCTCTTTGAGAACAAGATCAGCTAATTGAAGAATAAATTTAATTGAAATGCCTTGAACTTTTTCATAATGATGTTCACGAAGAAATTCTTCAAGAATTTCAAGTGATTCATCTTGTGGGTAACATTGTATACAAGTTTGTAATATCAGCTGTACAAAATAGAGTCGTGCGTTTCAAATGACCATCACGAACATATTGTTCTAATTGACGAAGAAGATGGCCACCATCAATAATCGGTCTCGGTTGAGCATGCATATCAAACAAAGGTCGAATGGATTGATCCAAAAATCGAGATATACCAGTAGTGGCAGCATGAATCGTATTCATAATGGGTCGAAGTGTTATTGGATTCTAAATAGAAGAAGATGAAAGCAAATGTTTATTGAATTTAAAAAAAAACGGGTAATAAATAGTAGGTGACATTACCTTATATGTTTTAGGATTGTGATAAATATAGGCTAACCCGACATTTAATCGACTTATTCGCTTTAATACGTGTTACTGAACCATTAACCAGATGAGTTAACGGCAATAAAACCAATTGATTATCATTGTCACGTTGAACAATCATATGTGTTGATGGAATTTTTTTCCCCACCTCGAGACGATGAGGTCACTGATGTTATACTTCCCTTTGATTCGTACCGCTGCATGATCTAAAAAGACTCAGTTAATTTCACATCGAAATTTATCCACATACATTCATGTGGATGTAAAACAATCACAAAAGCAAATAAATAGATTATTCAGTGTGTGTTCGTCTCGACTGAACCGTTATCACGTCTCGTAACTGGTGTAACAAAGCATGTCGACATTTTAAATGAACAAGTAGCCAATAGATCCATGTGATAGGCTAAGAAAACATTGCCATGAAATTATCTCTTATTGTTTCAAAATATTTGAACGAACATTCTAGATAAAATAATAGGAATTAAATCGTTGTACAGACCGTATTGTTTCAAAAATCAAAAGTATCTGCATGAAAATATTAGGGATGAACGATAGACATGATTGTTTTTATTCATTCTACGTATTGATGCTTAATATTAAATCTTGTATAGAAAATTGACAATTATTAATTACGATCAATTGATGTTCTTAATCTCATTTTCAAATTTCACAGTCTCGAAGATTGTTTGTTGTTTTGAAATTAGATTTTATTTCTCACGGAGACATGATCATACATTATTCATTGTAGTTGCAATAAAAAAAACAGCTAGTTTGTGTACTTACATTGAGTTGTAATCAATCGGAAAAAAAACGAATTAGGTAAAAACAATTTAAATTAATTCTATGCAGAAACAGATATTATATTTGATATTTGTTCTACATATTGCTTTACAAAGGGCTATATCTTGTAATAAATTACTATCATAAGATAACCTCTTTATGATTATCGAATACATTCAATCTTTAAATAAATTTTATTATTAGCAAGAGTTACAAATGTATGTATTTAAATACGACACTCTGTCGAGCTATATAGCTCAAACGTAAGTAACTTGTTCATCGATAAGAAGTTCTTCTGTTCTAGCCTTGATCACCGCACATGTCAAATTTTGCGTAAGTTAAATCACTTGTTCTGTACTACGCCTCTAGGATAGAGCTGACCATCGTGGAGTTCTGATGGTGCCACAGCGCAAATCTGTGAGAACAAGTTGTTGTTTTTTCCCAAATATTTCTTCAAACGCGTTTAAACGTGTTTAACTTTCAGACGCATCCAGCTGCGTTTACTTTTCAAACAGGTATGAGCGCATCAAGTGTTTTCAGATACATCCACACGCATCTGGTATTTGAACGCGTTCGAACACGGCACATGTTTCATAGCATTGTAAAACGCGTTTGAACGCGTCTGTGATCTGAATTCATTAAGATGCATCTGCAGACGCGTTTAGAAGCGTCAAATGTTTCATTTTAGATGCATTTGGCTGCGTTTTCTCACAGTATTTCAAACGCGTTTTCATGCCATAGATTTTCACATGGGAACTTGAACAACAATGTCATAAATTAGCTAATCAACAAACATCAATAACACAACAACAAATAGAATCTTTTAACGTTGAACAAATTGCTTATATATTAAATCTTCTTCTTAATCAAAAATCATCAATAATTTATGATAAAATAAAACAATTAGATGTTGATTGTAACATATCAAAATATTCCAATTGGAATATTCGTATTCTTTGGTATCAATTATGTATACGTGTTAAATATTATGATGTTTTAGACGATTTATTTAAATTTCTTGAAATAAATGGTTGTACAAAATTCGTTAAACTATTATATGCTGAATTTAAATCATCATGGCCAAATATGATGTTAAAAGCAGAAAAATTCTTTCAAGAACATGAAAGGTATGTGAATCCAATAACGACTAAAGAAATTGAAATGAGATACTGACATGAGAAATAGCTAAACTGCCTTTATGATTTTTTTTGAAATGATTTAAATTAATCTAACTGATTATACTTTTTCTTTCTTAATAGAATTGAAAGTTCAATGCAAATGAAAATTTTAATTGATTTACTGGATTCAATCAGAGAAATTTCACAGTCGTTTAACATTCGAAAAAAACGAAGCAAATATGCACAGGTGGTTGAAAGTTTGAAAGAATCAATTACGCATTTGATTAAACAAATCAAAGTATGTTTTTCGTTAATTCATTGAGTACTAAGAATACGTTCAGAGCCGGATTGAACAAAATTGAGCCCTAGTTGCCCTACGCACATTCCACTGCCATCTATACCTTCACACTCATGCTAAAAAACAACATATTGTGTTTAAATGTTTTCCTTTTGTTTTCTTTTAGAATTCTGAAATAACAATGGTTGAAATAAGGAAACAATATATTAGTATAATTGAAAACATGAATATAGAAATTGATCGTTTAGGACAAGTTGTTGAAGGACAACAAAATCCTCAAATGAAAAGAGATTTCGAATCTATTAAGGTAATTCAAAAAATAAATGTTCTTTTTAATAAACAAAATTTTTAATTTTTTTTCTTTAGCTAAATTTTCAAGTTGAAAAAGATAAACAATCAATATTAAAGACATGTATGTAAAAAAATAAAAAATAAAATTATGAGTTTTTTATTATAACAATATCTTTAGCAAAACCACATGTAGGTGAAATATATAAGATCCGTGTTGGATTAGAGTCACGTTTAGAAGAATTCTTAAGCACTATGTCAGAGACAAATTCATCGTCTTCTAGTAGCACTTCAGCATCTACATCGTTATCATCACGGAAACAAAAAGGCCAATCACAAGGGCGAAGACGACCTTGTCTCATTTGGAATACAGAAAACGAAGGTATTGAAGTACTACCTATAGCCAGTTTTGGCGGAAAAGATCTTGCAAAAATCAAAACTGATATTCAATGTACAATTTCATCAAAAGATTTCTTTAACTATGTGCTATCAATTCATCCAATTGCATCTCCACCGAATAAAAGATCATTAAGACCAAAAATAATTAAATCAATGTCTAAACCTTTAACAGGTTATTTAATTTTAATGCCAATAGTTATAAGTGATTCAACACCTTTACATGGGCCAATGCCAGTTGTCTTCGAAAAAAATGATATGTTATACATAAATAATAAACTTGATGCATTAATTAAAGAAAAACAGGATAAAATTATCGAAAATATTGATTATTCAAAGATCATTGCGAATACTCAATATGATGACGACGATAGCTCTAGTCAAGAAACCGCGCATTCAATACCAAATGCTAGAAGTTGTTTATTTGAAATAAATCATTTCGATAAAAATAATCTTATTGAAAATTGGTTGAGCAAGTGTAAGTGGAAATGACATTTCATATAAATTTTCTTTTATATTTGTTTATAGATGATGATGATATAAAAATGCATAACGAATGGCAATATATTGATGATTTAGTAATTTGTTTGCATAGGTTTTCATTAAAATTAAATTTTAATCATTTGGATATTTAGGCTTATAAAGATTCAATTGAATGGAATCCGGAAAATGATGATCAACTTAATGAAGCTAGTGTTGATCTTTATCTTTATCCAGTTCTTCATATAACTAATCTATTACCAATTGATATTCAATGTTTATTTGATGTAAGTGAAAAATCTTATTTTAATTCGTTGGATGTGAAATTAGAAACAACTAACGATAGAAAATATTATTAGTATTCATGACAACTTTTTATTTAATAATTTATATCATATATTCAATCAAAGAATTCGTCGTAATTTTCATTTTCATTTGTATTGCTAGTTTAAAATATTTCAGCTTGAGAAAATCTATAATTTTTCGGAGAAAAATACATGATATAAGGTCTTATAAGCACTTTTCTCTTGCTTTATTGATCTAAAAAAACTAAAATTCATTATTTTATTTAGAGTGTCGAACAAGTTGATTTAAAACCAAGCCAACTAAATGAAATTGCATTTGGCGATAAATATTCCACATTAATTTTCATGGTAAACTGCTTTGTCTTTTTTTATTCTTGGAAATAAAATATCGTTTCTGATATTTAGATTCCATCTTATCACAAAATTAAATGGATCTCAGAATCAATCGATTTAAAAGTTGAACAGAATTATCATTATAATGAGCGTTTTATTATCTTTCACGATTCTACTTCTTCTCATTCTAAACAAACATTGGTAAATAATAAAAATAAAGCATCTAATAATAATTTGTATTTAAATAGAATATGATTTTACGTGTTGATACATTGCATGAATCATATAGTTTATTCTTATATTCGCCATTTTGGATTATTAATCGTACAGAATTACAACTTGAACTTCAAGTAAAGAGTTTTTTTTATTGTATATACGTTATTTATTTTGAGTAGATTGAAAATAATCGTACATTTATTGAAATGACTGAGACACCGCTTTTATTTTGTCTAGAAAATTTTGAAAGTGAACCAAACAAAAAAGTAATTATTAAATATAAAATAAAAGAAAGACTTTCTTGATTATTAGACACAGGGACAACTTCGTCTTTATGATATTGATAACGAAAATAATACAACGATTTGGTCAGAAAAATTTTCACTTGATATTACTAAGAGTACTAGTATGGCATCTTGTAAAGTACCAAATGATCGAGTATATATGGTAAATAAATCAAATTTAGCAACAAAATAAAAGTTTCTAATACAGATTTGTGTGGATGTTTTAATATCTTCATTTGGTTTAACAAAGATTATTACATTTTCACCATCAATAGCTATTATTAATAAATCAACTGTATGTTTAAAAACTTTTTTGTTATTTAAAATAAAATGTTTTTTCTAAGGTTGAACTTGAAGTTGTTGAAACAATATCAGATAAAGAACAAGATAAATGGAAATCAGTTAATCCTAAAGAAGTAAAAAACAGATTTATTTTCTATTTTCTATTATGTATTCATGTTTTCAAGATAATTCCATTTTGGTCACATAATATAAAAGATGGTATAATGTGTGATCATTACAAACACAGTCGTGCAGCATCAAGTTCATTTATGATGAATGAAAAATATAGAACACTTCTACGTATGAATGATAAAGAACGACCAGTAATTTATGTGAGAGTATCAGCAGCTAATTTTGATGGTTTAAGAGTTATTTTTGGCGATTATAAAATTGATGATGCACCTCTTCTTGTTATTAATTGTTTAAAAAATGATTCTGTTTCGTTTTCTCCAATTAATAATGTGTAAGTTGTTTTGATCTTTCAAATGTAATTTGATACTTTTTTCAAAATAATAGACGAACAAAAATTTTACCACCACAAAATTATGTTTATCATGCATGGTTAGATTCATCAAAATCAAAAGAATTAGTTATTTCATGTGGTTTGAAGAAAACAAAATTGGAATTAACGGTAAGAAAAGTGAATTTATTTTTATTTGAGAAGATCATAAACAGCAGAATTTTTTAACTACAATGAATTCTTTGTTAGAAATCAGAGAAAATTTTTTATTCTACAGATAATCTCCAGCTTAATAAACTTTTAGAATACATCTTATGCAGCATCTTTGTTCGTAAGAGCAATAAACATGAGTGAGACGACGGGTTTAATTTTGTTAAAAATAAGATTTAAGTCGAAGATTTGAAACTAAATGAACGGTAGCATCGCAACAAAGGAATGAAAATAATGTGCGTTTTCGTTAATTGAATGACCGGACAGTTATAGAATAATGGTCATACAATAGCTTAATGTCCAACTATCAAATTATTAATTTTGATCCATTTCAATAACATGCGATATTATTGAAAACTAAAGTGAAAATTCTTCTCAAGATATCTTACGTTCAGCTAGTTTGTTACATGTAGTCATTATAATCTAATGATTATGACGTTGGTCATACCCGTCGAAAGTATAGTGTATGCATCTTAGTATCATCAAATTATCGACTTGACCAAGTTAAGGCAGCTATTTCTTATGATTAACTGATCATGACTAAACTGACACGTCAGAAAGATTAGTTTAGCAACAGAAAAGTTCTCCGTTAAATCGAAAAGCCTTCAATATTAATATAATACAGGTCTCTTTTTATCTATTTTGCGCAAAAAATTGTATATTCCAAAAAGAAATCTTTTAATTTTTTTATTCAAATAGTCTCAATGTGGTTTTCTTGGAAAAAATGATGATTGTAATCTGAGTTATACTATATGTGTTGTTGGCACTCAAACTATTTTACTCGTTACTGATGATTCAGAAATTATTGAAGCAGCTTCTGCAGTAAGTCTCCTAAGTTTTTGTTCTATTAAATAATCCATTTTGATGGACATAGATGTCATCATTAGCTCAATCAGGTCAACCTGCTCAAATTGTTTTTCATGATAATGGATTATCACTTGTTAATTCTATAACTGAAGAAGAAATGCTTTATATAAGTTTAAATAAATCGAAAGTTATTCGAGCAAAAACAAGAACATGTTTTCTTCGACCATATATTGCTCATGAAGTTATGGGCTTTTCCATTTTAAATGTAAAATTTATCTTTCTTTTAAAAATTATTAATTTTTTCTTTTTCTTTGCGACATCGTAGATTTTGCAAGAAAGGAAATATGCCAAATCAGATACTTATATTGCACATATAACTTGTTCAGAAAATCCACCATCTTGGTTAATGGCTACATCAAAGTATAAATTGAATTTATGATTTTGTTTAAATAAATTATTTTAATTTTAGACGGTTATTATTTGGAACTAAAATCTCACTTTTTGATTTATATAAAAATTGATTGGCAAATTGAATATGAAAATTTAAAAGAAGAACCAGCTATAAAAACAAATTTAAATGAAATATAAATTCTTATAAAAGTAGTTTAATAAAAATAAAAATGAAAATAAAAATATTTAATTTTTTGTATTTTTAAGGAACCGAACAAAATTGGAACATTTGATTTAGCACGTTCTTATGAAAAAATGATTAAATATCGAAATATATGTGAAGCTCGAGTAAAATACTTTTTTTTTTAAAGCTTTTCTTCTTTTTTATTATATTATTGATAAAATAACTAATGCCATGTATTCAGTCAGTCTTTCCAAATTTTATTCTACTGCTTAATTTCTTATTTTACATCTATTTCATGTCGAAAAAGCTATTCACTTTGATTTGTACTTTTCTTTTTGTTGACTTCTTTGATAAAAACATGAAACATCATATTTATATTCGTACATGACTTTTTCTTTACCTATATCGAACAGAAAAATTTTTTCATTCGTAAAGAAAATATTGACTTAACCATTAAAATAAACTCCTAATGTAGATCATCAATCAAATGAAGCCAAAATAAATCGACAACAATTATTACATCAAACAAAAAAAATTTCATGGGTTGACATCCAACTATTTTTGGTGATGTACAGTAACATGTTTAATTTTATAATGACATTGTTATGTATTCTTTTCTCTTACATTATTAAACTCAGTTATCAGCGAGATAGCAACGTGATGGTATGACAACAGAACGGAATAAAAGGATAATCTCCCTTCAATGGAATCGAACCAACGTTTTCTGCTTTTCGGGCAGCTGTACTACCACTATACTAGAAAGGCGCGTGTATTATTTGTTTGTTCCGTCTTATGATTGAAGGGGAACACTTTGGTCATAACAGACATTGACGAATCATTTAGGTATATTTTTTTATTCGGTAAATAAAACTATTTCGTATTTACCTGTATATCGACTAATAATGTGTACATAATCGAAAAAAAAGGCATATCATTTTGCTTCTATATCTCATTTTTATTCATTCACTAACAACATCTGTTAATATTAATATAATTAACATATTCACTTAATATTGGATATAAAATCTGAGATTATTCGCAAAGATTTATAACACACATTGTTAATGAATATCGAAAAACAATTTTCAGTGTTTGAATAAGACATCTTCCATCAGTTGCTTCGTATTTACGAAAGAATGTGTAATTAAAATTTACTATTACATTAACTGATTTCAGATGGTAGAAAAACGTCATTTCATAATAATCAGATGAATGGCATACAGTTGATTCCTGTCGAAAACTCTGAAATTTATTGAATCATGAGAACAGGAATACGACGAGCGTGGGAGGATGAGAATGAAGGTATGGTATTGATCATTACATTCAAAGTGAGTTGTGATATATACTTTCTCCACAGATCATTTGATTTGGCAAGAAACGATGATGAATGAGACGATGTAAATTAGTATTTTACAAATATCTTTCTTTTCGATATTTTCTACTAAATCAGTTTAAACTGCATTTGTACTTATCGCTTTTATTGTTTATAATCATTCATTCTAAATGTAAACTGTATAAATTCGTATGACGGCAACAGTAAAGATCTATGAATATTAACATTTATTTGTGGCTATCTTTATTTTTTATATGCATGAATAAAATATTTCTTTCTGTTATTAACAATAAAACAGAAAAATCTGATTTTTCATCAAACCTTTCGTACTTAATGAGTTTATATTACTGAATACTTGAAAGACAACGTCCTATTCATTTATTATTTGTTTTCTTTTCTTTATTAATGAAACAAAAAATATAACAACGCGCACACACACGGTCTAACACTTTGAACAAACCAATAGGAAAAAAAGTGACAAAAAAATCAACCGTACAAACATGCGCGGTTGCTCTCAACAACGAGTATTACAAGCGAATAAAGGAACTAATAATAAACTAACTAATGTTTTGATGTTGCTGAATTAATTTGGCCAGTTGATGATGTTGGACCTGTTTCAACCGGTTTTGTTTGAGTATAAAAATCAGGTAGAAGGTTAAGATGATTAAGAATTTGATCGATTATTGTTGATGATAATGGTTCATGTGAAAACCAAAGTGAATTTTCAGGAATTTGTTCACTAATTGGATGTAAATAAAGAACGTCAGTTGTACCACCTATTTGTTCAGGACTAAAATAAATTACGAATATAATATAATTCAAAAATAAATTATTTTTACCACTTTGAAACATAAAAATCATATCGTTTTATTGGACATCGTACAGGAAGATTAATGTGTTCGGTTGTTTCATAAATAGTTGGTGAATTTTGCTAATGATTTCAGATCTTTATTTAAAAAAACCGTTCTTTTTTGTTTATTTAAAAAGAAACATTCATTTACCAGGATTATGAGCATCAAATCTTAAATAATTCATTTGTTGTCCTTGTGGTGAAGTTGTTGATAAACGTACCCATTGAGAATATTTACCCAAAATTTGCAAATCCTATAGCCATATGTGATTCAACAGTTTTTAAATTAAAATATTTTGTATTTGTATAAATAAATGTTGTTAATAGAGACCATGGTGTTAATATACCAAATTGATATATATCATATAATAAATCTTCATCAATTAATGATATATATGTATTAACTAAATAAATAATAATAAAGAAAATAATTATTATCTATATTGGCTTGAGCGCGTAACTTCAAGAGCGGAAGTTTAAATTCATCATATATGAAATTCATTGTCACCACCTTGTAAAGCATGGTCTAAAGTATAGGGAAATATATTTTGTTCCATTAATAACTATGTCAAAGTGTATTTGGTAATTTGTAACAGAGATATCACTCACAGTTATAGAAAATTCTTCTATTTAGACCGCTAACGAACCTAACCCATATATCGAAGCAGTTTGGAATCAACAAAGTCGATTCAGGCTGATCAAGACTATATGATAGCAGATGTGTTTTTTGACATAACAAATGATTTTGTATTTGTTATACTTTTCTGTAACGAGTTTTTCTAAAATTACCCACTTTATAACGCCATCGTGTAACGAAAAATAAGTATTCCTTTTTTTCATTTGTCAGCGTTTGTTTTTTTTTGGCAAAAAAAAAATATCTAAAGCTATCATCGGCACCAAAAGTCAGTGCACTCGGGTGTTTTTTGAATAACTCACGATAGGAACAACATAGAGACCTGCGATTTTCACCGTTTGAAAGTCAAACCCTAATATCATATTTTCATGCGCAAAACTTTTCCGACAAAAAAATTTGAAGATCGGTTTGTCAGAAGGTCTCTGGAAAACCCCACTGGATTTTTGAAAACCGTTATAGAAATCTATCGATTTTTTTAACGGGTGCGCCAGGTGAAATGAGCTTCTCAGTATTTTAGCGATATTTTCCTTATTTTTCATTCAATCAGACTTTTTCTTTTTTTTAAAGATTCGTTGTATCACGTTCTACAAAATGGTGCTATTTTTATTAGTGCAAATAATTTCCATTATTTTGAGACATGCGATACAATCGATTAGTCCAACTAGTGCAACTTTCTACAACGACTGATTCGCGAATCTTTTTCACGGACGATTTTAATTGTTGAATTAGTGTTGCTTTTGACTCGACCTTGTTCCAATCGATGACGTTGACGAATTCATCCCAAATTGAATAGTCCAAAGGGTTCAAATCCGGACTATTGGGAGGCCAATGATCCTTGTCAATAAATGATGGAAAATTCTCTTGACACCATTTTTGAGTTAAATTATGTTGGTGTGGCTTTGCACCATCTTGCTGAAAGATCCAGTCGTCACCAAAAACTTTATTCCCATATTTTAAAACTACGGGAAGTACTTTATTGATATAATAACCATGATCGACCGTTCTCTCATCCAAGATCACCAAGAGTGTGATACCCTTAGAGAAGGCACCCAGCCGCACCATTACTTTGTGTGGGAACTTTCGTCTCTGCTGAATGTCACCTTTTTCATCGGCATCAACACGATCTACTGCCCACACTCGGTCATTTTGAGAGTTATAGACACCGTCAATGTTGAAAAACTTCTCGTCCGAAAAGAGAATTTTCATGATTTCCTCTTTTCCAAAATTGTTTCGAACCCAATTTGCAAATTTTTTCCATTTGATCTTCTGATCATCAGAAAGTGATGGTTCGATTACCTTTTTATAGGGCTTCAGTCCTAAATCTATTTTTAATATTCGCCTGACACTTGTTGCAGAAATACCAAGCTCCACCGATAGCTTCCGAGCAGATACTCTTTTTTTTCGGCGTAAACGGTTTTTCACCTTTTGAATATTCTCTTTGGTCCTGATTATACGTGGACCACCATATGTACCGGATAGTTCGATAGATCCGGTTCGACGGATCATCTGATACCACCTTTTGACTGTTGCTAAACTGATGCCACCATTTAAATCACGACATATTTTTGTGGGAGCATCACCATCTGTCGGAAGGACTTGTTCGTTCCTCCTTTTATTTCGAATCATAATGAATATGCTTTTTTGAGTAACAATGCTGATACGAATAATATAAACAGTGAAGAAGAGAAAAGAGAAGCAAATGTAAACTAATGATTAAATGATAAGAGTGATTAATGAGTACATGCACTCTTGAAGGAGTCGTGATGGATGGAATCCGTCACATACCCCTCCGCCACGGTGCGAGTGCACCACATGAGCATAAGTAGAGAGTGAAGGTAAATAATAATGATTACAAACAACACGAAAAGAACGAAAGAATAAACATGAGCTAGTAACACATAGGCAATTGATGAAATAGAACACAACGAAAATTTTAAAAAAACAAAATCAGCAGCCGGCTGATATTGAAATAACCAATGACATTAATTAATGACTTCCATTAGCCATTAATCTTAATGGTTAATGAGAAACATTAACATTATTATTAAATTAATGTTAATGGCCCACCCCTAACTAGAACTAGTACTCCACCATTTTTATTCTCTCCTTTTTGATAAAACATTCTAAAACTATTAAAGGTTTTCTCAAAAAAAGATAGCTCGATGTTACCGGTTTCGAGAAGAATAAGAATATCAAAGTTGAAAGAAGATATGAGAAGAAGGACCTCTTGCCATCTCAGCTCAAGTCCTCGAATATTGAATGAAAAAACATGAAGTGAAGAATGAAAAGAATTTTCATGTAAAGGAACATAGTTTTGCCATAAAGAAAGACAAGAATCAAGAAATAAACTACCTTCCCATTCATATAGAATCTCAGATAGAAGATTAAAGTCAAAGGAAGAGAGAGAAACATTAACTTTAGCTAAAAAATCACCACGTTTACAAATTTTAGAAGAAGTACAAGAGAAAAAAGGTTCAGCAAAAGGTGACAAAGTCATTAGCTTGAAAATGGTTTATTTCAGTGGTTTTCTTCATTTGAACAAAATAGCGATTAATTCGACATTTAAGATCTACATCTAGTGGATTACCTTTCTTGTCTTGATTTTTTGTCGAGATAAATGTAAATATATCCTCAGTCATAGGAATTAACAATTTGCAAAATAAATTCTCATGTCTTTCAATAAATAAATTCTGTTGAACAACATCTTTCTTTAACATCATATATTTATTAGACATATCATTCATGTTTTTAATAATTGTTTCATCGTAATGATTTTTATCGGATATAAATTGTTCGAATTTATCATGTTTGGCTTCCAAATTAACAAAACGATCCTTCACTTCTGATAATTTATTAATTAACTCATCCAGCTTGACCATCATAGGATTTATTGATAATGTCGAAGATTTTGGTGGTGGAGGAGGTGGGAAATTAGTTGAATTAAAAATGATATTTTTATTGAGTAGGCGAGAGTCAGATGATGATTGATTAGTAACTTGAAGAATGTTACGAGTTAATTCAGAACGAAAATATTTTACCACCGGACACATTTTTCTACTTCAGAACATTTATGACTTTTTATATCATTAACTTGATCTCCACATGTACGACATGTTTCTTTAGTTTGAGTGCGTTGCTGTTTAAGATGACCCAGTGCCATGCACTTGGAACATATAGTACATTAGCTGGTGCTAAATATTCGATAATATCATAAGTAATATAATTAACAATAATTCTCTTTTGATCTAATAATTCATCTCTGACAGATGAAGAAGTTAATTCAACTTTAACCATCTTGATATCATTTTGGAACTTGTTTTTCATTCGAATTATGTTTTTAATATGAGGATAATTAGTATGAATATCATTACAGAATTCATCAAAATCAATACGTAAATCAACGTTTTTAATTAATAAACATAATTGTGGTGGAATAGCAGGAGTTGAACGAAAAGAAAAATCTTTATTTCCAATAACTTTTGGCCAATGAGCATCTTTTACATAAATAAGAATATCATATTCATTATCAGAGAGAATATGAGAAGATAAACGACAGTTTATCACTTGAACATCAAATTGATAATTTTTTTTACAATGATCAATTAAACTTTGTTTAACTTGATCAGCTGTAACTTTTCCTGTACTAAAACGTAAAACAAAAGGTGGAAACGGGTATCTTGTTTGAGCAAAACGTGTCGATTCATTGTAATGGCGAAATTATGAGGAGATAATCGATGTTGATTATCATTAACAAGAAGTATTTGATTATGATCAGGATTAGTATCAGCAATATTAATTATAGTTGGATTATCACGAGATGATTCACCAGCATTTAATTTTTCAGCGTCGTCGCGTGTATTTTGTTTCTGTTTCTTCTTGTTTTTCACAATACGATAATCATCATCTGATTTGTCGGTTGAAAGTGGACGACGAACAGGAGATAATGGTGAATTAACGAGATCATGATGTCATGTTGAGGATGATCGTGATGCAATAACATAATTTTCATCATCTTTTTTATTCGCATTAGCTTTTTTAATAAGATCATGAGTTAAATGATAATCGACAGCATTATTTGAAACAGCAGGTAACATTTTGTCTAGTTCCAATTCAATAACATTATCATTTACTGCTTGTAAGCGGTGTTAACCACCATGACCAAGATAAGAAACCGAATCTGAAGTCATTATCAATGGTTTATAATTCGGCGTATAGAGTCAATCAATGAAACTAATCAATTTTGTCTATCACACGCATGAGTGCGTGATTAATAAATATGTATATGTAAGTATGCATATACGAAGAGAAAAAACATCATTGCTTTTTTATTCTTCACTTTCGACATTTTTCCAGCACACCACAAAATAAGATCAAACAATTTTTTAAAGGTATCCTTTCACCAGAATAGATATAACTGTATTAAGTTACGCAAGATTGATATAATTTAGATATGGATTGCTATATTTTTAGATATTGCACACTGAAAAAAAAATAAGTACTCTACGAAACTTAAAAAGGTTCCGAGATTTGCAACAAATTTGAAACCCTTTTGCGATGTCGTACGGAACCTTCAAAGTTCCGTATAGTCTCACGAAACCTGTGTCGGAGTCTCCGATATCTTTAAGGGTTTTGTGAGACTTTACGAAACCCTTGAAGAACCTC